TTCCCAAGATAGTCTTTAAACTAAAGCACACGATAACGTTGCTTGTCGGGAAATTACATGTTCTTGTTGTTGTATTCTTGGATGAGCTGCTTGGCTAAGTTTCCAGAAGTCCCGCCGCATAGACCTTCATGTTTAAGAGACAAAGCTGTCTTTTTATCATCATCAAGATAACAATTAATGAAGAAAGACTGGGCTCGATGATCTATGGATCACCGGTTCTAATCCTGCCATGGTGTTTACCGTCTCCGTGCGCTTGTCGGGTTGGAGATGGCATCCTCTCTGCGGTGCTCAGTGATCGATACCCATCGAGTGAAGCAGGAGTGCCACCGTCACCACCCCAACACAGATCTAGCTGCTGGCTCGGCAGCATAGCCATGGATGTGCAAAGGTTCAGGGAATGCAGGCCACTGGAAGCGGACACTCTGAGAATGTTGCTGCTGCCCAATTGATCAGGGAGCGTCCAAGTAGACCGGTCATCACCACCCATCGTATCTTGTGTATTAGGGTTTGTCACCGGCCATAGTGTCCCTGGCATCCGTCCATGGCTAGCTTGGCCGTGGACTGCTATCTGATTCTGCAATGGATGTGGTCGGTGTTGACGAATCTCCGGTTCCCGTCCGCGCTTACTGCATGGATTGACATTAAGAAACACAGAGGTTGACGTTGACTGGCCATCAGAGGAGAAAGAAAAGCTTCGATCGCTGTTAAAGTAATTAGCGGCAAGGAGGTGAGGAGAAGCGGAAACGCTGGAGCCGGAGTTGCGAAGAGAGATAGTGCTGAGAGAGGTGAAGGCGGCGGCCGCCGGGATGGTGCCAGTGCCGGTGGCCGCGATCACGGCGGGCTCAGCCTGCTGGAGTAGCCACTCGACGGTCTCCCCGTCGGTCTTGTGGCCAAGCTCGCGGGTGAGCTGGAAGATGCGGGCGGCGCAGAGGGCAGGCACGCGAATCCGTCGCCCGCGCCCCTCCACCTTTGTGTGGCGGTCCTTGTTGGAGTTCCTGATCTTCTTGGGAGGTGGCTTGTTCTGTGGGTTGACGACGGGCTCGCCGGCGGCGGTGGTGGTGGTGGAGGATATGGCAGGAGAAGGGTAGGCGGAGCAGGAGTGGTCTTCTTGCTTCTTCTCAAAGAACCCGAGAGCGTCGTTGGGCCGTCGGTATCCGCGTGATTCGCCTTCCATGCCTGGATTATGCCATGAGGTACAAACTGTTGTTATGGAGTTTGGCAGGAAGGATGAAAGGCTATGGGGAGATGGATCTGCGGGAGAAGAAAGTGAAAGATCGAAGGAGATATTCCTGGAAGAGATAAGCCACTGCATCTTTTTGATGGATCATGTAAGCGCATAGTAGGGAATAGATATAGGAAGAAATGAATCGAGAAGATATGAAACAATTTCAAGATTCGGAGGACATCCAAATTCCACAACTGATGGAGTGGAAGGAAATCCAAGAGAATATTAATTCTTAACTCTCTTTACCTCTTCACTTTATTTTCTTGTCTGAATGACAAGTTTAACATTAAGCTATTAGGAGAACCACAAATTCAAGAAATATCGTTGAGTGGATATTTGCAATCATTCATCTAACATTCTTTAGATCAAAGTCGGCCATTGCGAGCATTATCAAGAACAATCTTGATCATCATAAACTTGAGATGATGAACACATTAAATACGTCCAAGTTAGGTGGGTTTTAGGTTGTGGATTATGGTTACCTAATCATATCATTTCTTTAAATTGAAGTATGGAAAACTGAAAGCAGGTGGTACTAAGTGACAATGAAATGTTGAAACAGCGTCTTGTTCTTTTGTAGCAGGTCGCAGCTGATGTCATTAAGAAGGTTTACATCATTTCAAGGACGGAATGATTGAAGGTTGGAAAGAACCACACGACGCAAGTTCTTTGCGGATAGATAGAGTTGCAATGTGCATCCCTCCCTCTCTCTCTCTCTCTCTCTCTCTCTCTCTCACTCTCTTTCTAACGAATGCACAATTGATTTGGATGCGGCTTTTGTGATTCTAAAAGTCAGTATCCGAAGATTACGAGAAATCCTGAGTTTTTATAATTTTAATATTAAAAAAAATCCTCTAAACGAACGATTCTATAAGATAAATATCTTATATATCTTCGTATTTTAATAAAAAATAATAAATGAGAAATACTTTGGATGTTATTACATTTTTTTATCTTTCGGGTGTCTAAAGATGATGGACGCTCTTTGGGCCTTTTTAGAGTGAGAAAAAGATATAAATTTTTTGGTTAATATGAGAGAACATATAAAGGGAGTCATACTTGAGTGGAGATTTCATAATGTAAAGAAGTTGAGTTTTTCATGGATGTGGATATAGATGGAGTTATCAAATCATGTTAAATCTTACGTTAATTTTTTGGTATGTTACTTATTTATTGCTCTGAATTTCTTTTTAGATTTTCAAGTTTTTCTCATTCTTTTCGACAAAGTGGTGTTATAGTCCAAAAGATTTGTTCTACAAGTGAGTGATGAAAATTGAAAGAAATGTGAAGTAAAAGTATTTTCTCAAAAATGGATAAAAAATTAAAAAATTAAAAAACCTTATGCTAGTATTCTAAAAAGATAATGAACTAAAGAAGACGAGAGAAATGTATAAATTCTGAAAGGTTATACGGGAAAAGTTGAATAAAAATAATTTAAGATTTTTATAATTGATCTCACTAAAAATTTTAAATTTTTTTAGATATAAATGAGGGTATTAAATTTTATTTCAACTTTTTAATATATTATTTATTTATTTTTAATTTTTTTTTAAATTTTCTTTCCCTCCTCAACGGTCAAAAAATAAAGATCCATGATTGGTGATGTGTAGCTAACATTTGTAGGGTCTAGAGACTCAATTCAATTAGTTAAACAAGGAGGATTATCTTTGAAATATTCATAATTCAAAGAACATTCTCTTCATCACTTGATATAAACAGGAGTTTCTCCCTATCCTAATCCAAACATGACAAGAATACACGAAGAACAATGTCATGTCATGTCATGTCCATGATTAAGAAACTAACGGACAGTGATGCGCCAAATCGGTGTTCATTGTCCCAATTGTGCTTTCTTATTATGTACTTGAAAGGTTTGACTTCTTCACCATCTATACAATGCTTTACTTGTATATCTCCTCCCTATTAATTTAGTCTCATTGGGCTACCTCATTCTGCTACCTAACTAAAGGATTGCAATCGGCATGTGACATTGTCCATACACTATATAAGCCCTCATGTTCTGTGCTCGATCGATGAGAACATCCGCTTCCCTTTCACCATTTGCAACCCATGACGCGATCTTTACTGCAAACCCTGACGGATACCGTCGCGTCGAGTCAAACAAAGATGGCTTGTCATCCGAGCGGGTGCAAACGGGCGGTGGGTTCGTGGTTAGGTCTCTGGGAACGATTAATTGTGGGGGATTATGGACGGGAACCATTTGGATTTAACGCATATAAATTGATTACATTACTTTGATTTAGTGCTCGGCTCGATCCGATGGTGCTGAGGAGAAGGATGCTCTTGGGGTTCGTGCTGGCTCTCTTTACCGGCATCGGTATCTATCTTCGGATTTGGTCGATCGACGGTGACGACTTCTCCGCTGGCGACGACAGAGACGCCCTTCGGTCTGAATCCCTCTTCTCCTCCTCCTCAGCCTGCCTCTCCCTTCTTACTTCTTTCGGGTGTTTGTTTCTCCATCGGATTTCAGTTTCTTTGATGTAATTGTTACAAGTAATATTCATTTCTCATAAGATCTTTTCTGCTATTCTATCAATTTTTAGAATTGAAGACCCGAGGAACCCCAATCTGATGGGGGTTGGACCGAATACTCCGTTCCGAGCGGAATCTTTTACTTCAACTTGATTTTTTTTTTTTCCTTTCTTTCAAGAACTACTGTTCTTTAATCTGCTTATTTTGTGTGTTGGTTTTCATTAATCGATCATAGTGAATTGACATCAGTTGGTCTCAATCTCATTAGCCACTGTTTCCTGATCGGATTTTTCATCTTCGCTCATGTTTATGCATGTATCATCGATGTCGACTCGAAACTGTAATCATGAATTAGGAGTAATCGCTTTCCCGAAAGGAATGTGTGTGGATGGCTATCTTTTCTACATCTACTTGTCCTTTATGGCAATATGCTCATTTGGCAATCGTGATGTCTAGAGATTTATGGGGTCCGAATTGATGCTGACTCTGACCTCTGATAGGTCTGATGGCTCCTACTCTAGAGATTTATGGAGTCCATTTCTGGTCTACATTGATAACCCTCTTATAACTTGTGCAGGATATCATCATTGTATTGGCGACAAGAATTGTCGTATGTCAAAACAACGGAAACATTCTTATGCTCAAAATCGAGGAACTAGTTAACCACCGATATCGATTAAAGGTTCTTTTGGTTGCATGTTAGGTGTACAATATACGAGTTAACACACACATGTTGGAGTCAAATATCTTCTTGACTGTCTTTCTATGACTTTCTTCATGTGAACTCATTCGATGGTTGTACAGGTGATTGGGGGACAGGGTAATGAAGCCTTTGCAAAAAATTGTTGCCCTCGGTTGTCGTCTGAGAGACCAGTTTCTGGCATCATTTGAGTGATTACTTGCCATGCAAAAACGAAATGAAAAGTTTTGCACACGATAAGTTGTCAACGTAGGAAGTTGTTTAGCTGAAATATGCAATTCAATCTAAAATATTATGACACCATAAGCATGACTTTACATTTAGCTAGTTACTCTTCTCATTCCAGTGTTCTCAAATATGCTCTTAAGCTAGTTATCTATGTGTCTTTCACTAGGATGCATCTGAGAAAAGGCCTGCTCAAAGTATCTACCTTTATAATCAGGATCATTGCCTTTTTGAGCAATTAATAACTGAACTTGTATTCATATGTTGGATAAATCGTGTTGATATTTTTTCTTTAGATTCTTTTGTTACAAGCTGAGTACAGCAAAGAATCTTGTTTTGAGCATTACCTACAGGTCCAAAAGTGTCATTCCTAAGTTATTCTACTCTGCAACTTTTATATATACCTTGCAGAAGAGAATTTGAACATGCAAATATGGAAGCGATGGATGAATCTGCTGAATGGAGAATGAGATATGATGTGGAAGTGGATAGAAGTAGGCAAATTCAGGATGAACTCCTAAAGGTACACCCTTTTTTTTCCCTTTCCTTCATTTTCGATGCTTGTACTAAATTATAAATTTTGATTGCAATTACCATTGTTTTGTGCTTGCTCTTGTTGGGTACTTTCGATATGTGATCTCCAATAAAATAGAAAATAGACTGCACTAATTAGCTGAAAATTTTCCTGCCAAATCTGGAAGGAGAAAAAGTTTGTTTGTTTTGACCAAGAAGTCTTTTTTCTTACAAAAATGGATAGAATAAGGATGGTTGCTGAGATTGTTTTGGACATCCTATCTTCTATGATTTTGAGATGCAACTGATTCAACTAACCTGCGATCAAGTAGGATAGTAATTAACAAATCCATGCACCACTAAATGACAGAAGAGCTGGGAGGTCAATCGACAACTATTTTCATACAGAGGAATCAGTGAGTATGTTACCATCACAAAATCTTGAAGCTTGGAAGGTATTTTTTCATTGTTCTATATAAAATTGGGTGATGTATATAATGATACACCATAATAATCTTAGATGAAGCCATACAGTTTCAGATTTAATCAATTTAACCTGTGGACTTCCCAGGTAGACAAATAAAAGTGTAAATTTTGCCTTGGCAGGAGACCTTATAGTATCTCCCTCCTTTATCTATTCTCAGATTTGTTCTCTTTTCGTGATAGTTGCATTCTTTCTGCTGTTTATGGTGAGAAAGTGAATAAATCAGATTCCTTTTTGTTTGAATCTGCTTCCATAGTGTTGTTTTCCTATAACATTAAGGTGCATTACTAAAATTATTCTGCATTTTGATATTGCAGTTTGTTTTCAGTGACTGGGCTGCAATGTTTTGCTGGTTCCAGTTTTTTTATCAAATTGACTTGTGCTAATTGAACTTTTTAGACTTCATCATTTTTTTGTTCTGCTACATATGTTGCCTTATTCCGATGTTTAAGCTGTTCTGCTATGCATATGTTGTACCTCAGTCCATATATATATATATATATATATTTTTTTTTTTTTCATTTGTACTTTTTCAAAGTCTGATAATTTATCCTGCTTGCAGGTCAAGGCCTCGTTAGCTGGGGCATCTAGGAGGTTCAGCATGCTGCAAAAGGTATCTATGCAGTCATGGTATCTCATTTCCAGTTTTCAGCTCCTTGCTGCTGCTTCTTAGATACTATTGCTGTCAGGAAAACATGAAACTGCAGAAGCAGTTTGAATCCTTGAAACAAATCAAAACTAAAGGATGGGAATGCAAATGCAATTAATCTTCAACCCAACTTTGAGAATAAAGAGGCGTATCGTCCAACAAAATCCTCAATACTGGCTTCAGATTCTCATGCACAATTTGATTAACCCTCGTATGCAAGCAGCAATTCAAATCCTCCTTTTGCTTCCGTGCTGGTGGGTAATAAACTTATTGTTCCTTGGTTAGCAAGCTATATTCTTAACAGCAGGAATCCTGGTTTCCTCAACAGAGGAAGCTTCATTGCGGTTAAAAAAAGCAAGATGTGTCCGGTTTCATGCCCAAATAATGACTATATTCTGAGTACTCTGCAGACTAGATCGTGGTAATAAGGAGGCCATCATACTGACTGTCAACTGCTACATGAATCCACAATTGGAAGATTGAAGTATTAGATGCTGTTTTTCTGACTAAGGAGAGGACGTCACTGATAAAAGGCAATCAGATGCTCTGATGCTGTGGCTATAGCAGAGTTCAAGAACCTGTTTTTTCTATGGGTTAATAAGGATAAGAAATGCACCTCATTTTGTGCCGGTGGTGTTAATTGGAATAGCAGCAGTGGTTAGATGGCATGATCTCTTTGTCGTTTGTTAGTTCATTTTTTGCCTCTTTTCTTTTCTTTGGTCACAGGGTGGAAGCATCTGCTTCTTGAATCATATACTTTGATCATTTTATTAGACCAACTCTTCAGATTAAATATGATTATATGGAATAGTCAGTAATATGGACTTGGGAGACCCAACCTTGTTTGTTTTTAAATAGCCACAATAAGAGCATGTTCTAACACTCGAACAACTCTGGAGATTCAAATGCTATATATACTTACTTGATCCTTGCAGGACTTGGGGAACTCCTGAAAAGAAATATTTACCGAGAGATATAAATAGCTGCTTATTTAGGATGAGTGGCATGAAGCATATATATATATATATTTCCAGATGCTCATCCTCCAAGCTCCCAGGAATCACAGTCAAATCATATTGCATGATTGATTAGACATTAGAAGACAGTATATTCATCATAAATTAGTTCCATGTCTATATAAGAAAAAGACAATCCCCCCATTTCCATGGAAGAAGGAAGTGAAGCTTTATAAAATTTTTCCAGTCATTTTGTCATAATTTACAGAGGAAAGAATCCCAAGCACTTGCTTCTGGTCCACTCCAATTTCAACACCTTAATTTCTTGACAAAAACCTGCTACTCCCAACATCAATCTCTATCGTGAAATCTCGTATTTGGAGTAACCAAGCTGCTCCGTCTCCCAGTTCAGCTTCGAAGCCACTCTTTCATGTCGAGGGAAGTACTCCTGATGACACCAAACAGACAGACATCAGTTGGCTTTGTACACTTGCTAGTTTGATCGTCCACTAAAACATAATATATCTCCGTAATGTCATTTGTATGTTTACCTCTAATTTCTTCATCAATTCTTTTGCCGTTGGAGCGGATAATATGATATGACGGGCATTTGGGCTGACGAAACCTTCTTCCACTGCCTTGTCAATGAACGATAGCAAGGAGTTATAGTATCCATCGACGTTCAGCAATCCTACCTGCACAAGACCGCTTGGGAGGGATAAGAACACCACCAGATGATTGATCTAAATAAGCGTTAACACCACCAGACGTTCAGCGATCCTACCGGCTTGTCATGGATGCCAAGCTGAGCCCACGTTATCACCTCAAGCAGCTCTTCAAGAGTCCCGTATCCTCCTGCACACCAACATCTCATTCAGCTCCATGCAGATTTGGCAAAAGTACATCGCATAGCACAACAGGTATGCATACATGATCATCTTATCTAAGCAAAATTTCTACGTTTCACTTCTGTCAAAGGAAGGTGAAAAGGGAAGACAAAGCGATGCTTAGATGAGTATCACGTATGAAGGTTCAGAAGACCGAGAAATGAGACTCTGTGCCTGTGCTGCTGTTTAGGGGGAGAAAACAAAACACAGAGAGAGAGAGAGAGAGAGATGCCCTGCGTGTGACAGTGCAGAGAAATCTGCAGGTTTTTATACACTAACCAGGTAAAGCAATAAAGGCATCGGAGCGCCTCGCCATCTCTGCCTTCCGTTGATGCATATCGGCGACTGCCTTCACCTCTCCTACGGTCTCCCCGGTTATCTGCAAGAAGCAACCACCCCAAGGCCCAAAAAGGCATGAATACAAACATACTGTAGAACGTAGCTTTTGTAGCAGCAGAGACAGAGAAAGGCCGAAAGCTTTATTTAGCTTAGCATACCTCTCGAGGCATGAGTGTCTTGGGAATAACCCTGCGCGGTCAGACAAGTCGCATGACAAAGAGTGAGTGAACCGCACATGACCGAGGCGACACAGTCTACTCCAAAGAACAGTAGATGAGTCCGAAGCTTACCCTGTGACATGCCTCCCACCATCATGAACGGCCTGAGAGACCAACCCCATCAGTCCGACACTTCCCCCACCATAGACCAGATCGATGTTCCTCGACACCTGAAGGAATCCCACCCAGTTTAGCGGCGGCAAAGAAGAGAAGAGAAGAGAGACTGCAAGTTTCTCTATAGCTCGCCAGAGTTTTGATGTGCATCACACCACAACCGTAGATCTCTCAAGGAAGAAGAAGAAGAGGAGGAGGAGGAGAGAGCATACCAGTTCCTTGCCTAGCTCGATGGCAGCATCTTGGTAGCTTCTCTTCTTCCCCTGACTGCTTCCGCAGAAGACGCAGATCCTCGTAAATTTGGATGCTTTAGCTTCCTGCTTCCCCTCCATTCTTCTTGGCTCCCCTGTTTCTCCTCCTCTGCCTCTGTTTCCTATAGCTTTACCTCCGTCTTCCTTATGCTGCTGCAAGCGTCATTGGCGCAATGCAAACATCCACACTAGGCACTTTTCGGTGCGCTCTCCAGGGAGATTTATAAAGGCAACACGTGCTCACAACCAGAGACACAGAGAGAGAGAGAGAGAGAGAGAGTCACAAAAGACGCCATGGACAGAGAGTAAATGATTATGGAGCTGTGTTCGAAATGGAGGGCCCGGCTGCCCCCTTCCTCGTTACTGATGTCTTTTCCCTCCATTTCCACTGCATCTCAGTTTGGTTTCCCTGCACAAGAAAATTGGAGGAGTGAGTGAGACTGGTCTGGGAATTAGTACGTGTATATTTCATTCAATTATTGTGGTATGTATTGAGGAAGAAGACTCAGTGACTCACTCGCACAGTGACAGAGGGAGGAGATTAAAAATAAGCAGATGGCTCCGCATGCATTTGGGTGGTGAACGGAGGAGGAGCAATATAATAAAAAGGCTCCTCCTTATCTGCAGCTTCACCTGCCGGACATGTCCTGCTGCATGCAGAGGAAACATATTGGTATTTTTATTGGACACGCCCTCTCCATTCCCCCATACCACCATCCCCCTCCTCACCAGACCAAGCATGCCCTCCTCCATCCACGCCATCCCTCCCATTGATTATACTTTGCCCTCTTCTCCCCTCCCCCCTTATCATTCTTCTCATCCTCCGATACCTTGTAACTTAAACCAATCCAGAATCCAATGTCCCATTCCCTCCTACAAAATCCTTTTTCTAATCCGTCCCCATTCCCCTAGCTCGTAGGAGCTAACTAAGCTCTCTTATCCCACTCTCACCGCAGGTAAGCATGCTTCCATCTTAGTTTTAGGCAAAAATGCGGATTCCTTGTCACGTCCGAGTTGAATTCCTCTGTGTACTGCCTCCGTTGTCTGTTTCGGTGTCTTTTGTCTTCCTACGCGTCTCGCATCTGAGACGAAAGATCCTTTTGGCCCTCCCAACTGCCGACCTCACATCTGATGAGGCCCATAACTTGCAGCTTACTTGTACTTGTCTGTAATGCAGGACATGGATAAATGTTTACTCGGTGTCTTTTCCCGGTCATCCTCTCGATATCCATAACTCGGAATGGAATAGACATGCTCCACAGACGTGCACCTATACACGCGAAGCAGAATTCGATGGCCAAATCAACTCGCTTCTTTGAGACAAAAGACAGCAGCAGCACACACCAGTCACAAGCGGCTGCATCTCCACAGCCCACTAGTCGCTGACAAGGTGCTTAAGTTGACAAGCAACAAGGGAACCGAGTGAGAGCTCCATAAGCCTCCAATTGCTCGACCAAATGATTCAATATTCTCGATCGTTCCTTATCCGATGATTGTTCCCGAATGCAATGAATGGCTGAAGAAACCAGAGGGGCCATCACCAGGCCCTGCTGTTGGCCATTCAGAGCCAAGATATACAAATGTGAAAGAGGGAAATGGCGGTATCTATTCTCAAAGCTTCTTTATATTGGACCTAATGATTAAACTTTGCTTCTTCGCCACCTCTCCTAATCGCTGCATGCTCTGAGAAAAGAGGTGCCATCGTGAGGCTAATTAGGATCATGTGGGAGCAGAGATGGATGCCGCTTCCAGAAGAGGGGAGTGACAGAGTAGATGGACGAGAGGAGGAGGCTTCAGCCAATCGATGGGTATGCCGAAAAGACAAGCTGCCATTGCCATGGTCATCCGTGATGATACGGGCTGCTGGCCACAGTAAGCATCACCCACATGGTGGCATCAATAAAGGGTGATGATTGGGTCGGCTTTTGAGGCAGGTGGTTGTTCTTCATCTGTCTTCTACCGTGGGAGAAGGAAGGCGAGAAGAAGCAACAGCGTGGTCGATGAAGGTTCTCTGATTACCGTCTCATGTAGTCGGGGCTGCCTGGCCACCATCATCATCACATCGGGGAGACTGGAGCTGATGGCCGGCGCTCGTGGCAGACCACTTGTACCCTTAGGAGGGTGCCGTATGACTGGGAGATAGAATGGCTCGGGCAGGAATCAATCGAGTACTGAGGCCTCGTTGATGAGGAGTGCTTCTCCGAGTCATAGTCCACCAGCCCCGTGTATGGGAATCGGTTGCGACGACTGCTTCCCAAACCAAGAAGACGTGTCAGAGGCGGGACGGGACCAGACCGCTCCGGTCCGGTTCGATTATATATATATATATATATATATATAGGCCCGGCGGGTCGAGCGGCTCCGATATATGGTGGACGAATCGCGAGTCGACTCGGTGAAATCGGTCGAGTTCTCCTAATCTCGGATAAACTCCTTATCAAGTATTAAAATAGAGGAGGAATAACTCAGCGAGGAGGGCCGGTCGACCATCTACGCTAACCCTAGCGTTTCCGCTGCTACCGTCGCCAACGTCTCCGGCCGATCACCTCTTCTTTGTCCCTGCCGCGGGCCGCCATCTCCCTTTCCTGAAGGTACCATCTCGTGCCATCTCCTTTCCCTCCCTTCTCCTCTCTTCACCGTCCACCTCTCCTCTCCTATTCTCTCCCCTCTTACCCTCTTCTGCTATCTCGTCACCTCCCCGATCCTTCGGTGCCAAACTTTATATGTTTGCTGGATGATGTATCGAATTAGAAGATGACATCGGTTGTTAACAATACATTAGTATCGACTTGATTGCAAGGGATCATGTCCGGTTACGGCTGGATGCTTGGCGAACTACTGAACTCCTCTAAAGGCTTCATTTTTAGAAGCTTTGTGATTCGCTTTCCCTTTTCCAATCGAAAGAATCTGGATCTCGAAATACTTTTGTGAAAATCGTGTGCCAAAGTGTGAGATCTCTGATCAATTTGCTAGCTTGATTAATCTTTTGTTCTAAATGGGTTTTCTAGAACTGGCACCCCCGGGAGTCTGTTGAATTGGGTTCCTATATCGATCGATCGATCGATCGATATGGCAACTGAATCAAAGACTAGTGCTGCCCGCAAAGTTGGTCCGATGGTTCCTCCAGCTGAGATTTTGCATAAGGCTTCTCAATTTAAACGCTGGGGCAGGAAATATCCCTTCCTTCGATATGGTCTTCCACTCATTTCCCTTACAGTGTTGGGATCTGTTGGTCTTGCGCATCTCATACAAGGCAGGCAAGAGCAGTTCTCCATCAAAAGTATTCTTTTCAATATCTTAACAATGTTTTGTAGCTTATGATTTCTTAAAATGCGATCGTCTTGCTAATGTGTATTTTACCTGTTCTTTTCGATCATTGTTGCTCAGCAAAGAAGTAATAAAAGAAAAAGATGATCTGGAATGGGAGATTATCGAAACAACAAAAGCACTCACTCGAACCGGCCCCAAGGACAGCTACAAGCCTAGCAAGCTCTCTTTGGAGGAGGAGCTTAAGGTACTTGATCGCTTATAAGTTGGTGACTACTACTATGTTTCCCTTAACTGTGATCCAAACTTTTGCTCAACCAACCTGCAGGCTCTGCAACAAAAGATTGACATCAGCAATTATGAGTACAAGAGAATTCCCAGACCAAATGAAGGGAAAGATAGCAAGAATTGAGTAAAACAAACATGGTCAGCATCTTCTTTTGTATGGTGTAATCTGTGTTGGCTTTTAATAAGTGTCATGTTTTTTTGCTCCTAATGTTTGTAGGTCCACTATTTTGAAATGTTCTTTTCCCTTTTATTGTAAATGTTGAAGACGCTAACAATAATCATGAAATTTTTCCATCAGTGGAGAGTCACAATAACCCCTGAATGGTAGATTAACTAGAAATTACCAAATCCTATTGTCATGATAAAATCTTTAACGGGAAGATCCATTTTCTTGTGAGTAGCATCAGCTTTTTGTACTGATTGGTGGTCATACGGACTCCATGGTTGTGGTCTTATGGATTCCATGGCTGAGAGAATTAATTTATCACGAGTCCATGATATGTCTGAAATAGGTGGAGTGATGTTGATCCATAGTTTCCTGTTTATACATAGAAATCACATACATGAAAGTTTCCTCTGTTCATAGTTTTGTTGTCGATGTATCGATTGTTCTTTACGGGTTGAAGCATTGATCTAATCAAATAAAAAGAAAACACTCGATGTTCTTGTAGAACAGGTGATTGCCATGATCCTTCTACCATCAGAACTGAGATCAAGAGGAGAAAACAAAACAATTCATTCCTACTTATCAACATCGTCGGTTGTCCAATAAAAAGATAACAAAAAGTCGGCATGGTTTCTTGCCAGGTTCTACGGGCGGGAGAACTCAGGAGACTCTCCATACCCACTGCAGTGTAGGTGCTGTACTTCTTCTGTCTTCCTTATGATCGCCTCTATTGTGTTTGTGGTCTGCACAGAATTGCGACATCTTCTCGAGTCATATCTATATGAACGATACCAACCATCTACTTAGAGGGATGACATATATGCCTGCATGAAGGATTCCAGACGGGGCTCCGTCAGGTCCACTGTCTCATCGTCCGATGAGCGCCAACTCCGACCATTTGATGTCAGCAGGATCAGCCTCTCCATGTGCTCAGCTGATACAGCCGGCTCCGGTTTCGCTTGGTGGTCACCGCAGGAGTCTCTTTCAACTGGCATTGGCAATGAACATGGATTATGGCATCTCCCGGAGACTGCTCGATTTGGATCCTTCCTTTCAACTGCAACTTCTGGAGTTTGACTTCCGCTGGTGCCGCGAATGCTGTGAGAGTATGAACTCTGAATAGTGCAAAAGAGAACCATTTATATGAACCTTTGGAAGTAAAAAAGATCTACGTACACAGTTTTACCTTTGGAAACAAGCAAATAAAGGTGTTACATAGCACGAACATTGGTCATATATCAACCAATGTTCAGTGTGATGTAGCCTATTACAGATATTGCAAGTAAATGCATAATCTGGTACTCTATCAGCCAGGTATCACAGTGATCTATCTATTTATCAAAAGTTGCTTATAACTACTCTTGATCACAGTAATGTGGAATTGTTACTGAATAGTCATTGTGGTGGAGATAATACCACACAAGAATAACAAGAATTTTCAAGTATGTGTTTGCAAGTAGTACATGTCATGTATCATGCACCATCACGCGCACAAAAAACCAATCTTCATGTGTGAATATACCACAGACGTTTAACTCGGTGTATGAACGTGTCGATTGAAAACAAAAAGGTGGGAAAATTTGTGCATAAATGCATTGCTAAATTTTGGTATAGAGACGGACACAACAGGCATTTTAGTCTTGAAAACTTTATGGAAAGCAAGCAGCAGGAACAATGAAGCAATGACATGGGAATCATGGTTGAACTAATATTTCACACAAGTTAGGATTGCGCAATGACATGGGAATCATGGTTGAACTAATATTTCACACAAGTTAGGATAGCGAAAGAGAAGCGTATACGCATACCCAGAGAAGTGTATTGCCTGTTGGTATGTATCTCCTTCTAGACTTGTCGGGAGCAATCGTTAGGAGGATCTGAACAATTTCGCTCATGGTGGGTCTTAAATCTGGATCCCACTGGAGACACTCTCTGGCTAAGTGACCCATTATTTGCATCTCTTCTTCTGGGAACTTCCCTTTCAGAAGTAGGTCTGGTAGTTCTGACACAACAAGCTTGCTATTTTGCAGTCGACTTGTTGCCTACATTTTTATGAAAGATTGATACAAACCAAAGTCTCTTAAACTTGAAACTGCTCTAGACTGCTCAAAGAAGGTGAAGGGTCTGTCTATATGATGCTCAGGGAACTTACCCATATCACGAGGCTGTCCTCTTCTTTATTTGAAGACTTGAAGATGGGTTTCCGACCGGTGATCAACTCGAGAATAACCACTCCAAAACTAAAGACATCTGATTTTCGTGATGCCCTTCCCACAATAGCATATTCTGGTGCAAAATATCCAAATGTCCCCAGCATTCTTGCTGGTGAACTGGAACAACTAGTGAGATCATCAGTCATGAGATGTTTGGCCATACCAAGATCAGTTATCTGCATGAAAAATAAAAAGCCACAACACAGATTTAAAGAACAAGGACAAAGGAAAAGACTACAAACATTACAAAGGCCAGATTATTGAAAATGGAGCAACCATGAGAAATTATACCTATCCATAGTGTGCCAAAAAAATATTAAATTTCACATAATACTTAATAAGTTGGCCTTCCAATTTAAAGTTGAAAATTTAAAATTTCATTATATTATACTGAGACATTGAAAAGCAAGTTGAAATTTTGAGTTTTGATTTACAAGAATTTTAGATCTCATGCTATATAGTTTGATGATGAAGGAGCAACTTTAAAATGCTACTGCAAGTATGCAACACTATTTTTATAGATGCAGCCTCCTAGTGGCTTCAACTCTAAATGCTGTTATTGACTGACAGGAGGGTTAAACATATTCTATTTTAATTATAAAAGAATCAAGAAAAGAAGAAGATGAGAAAGAGGAACAAATTAGCCCGACAGTTTCTTGATACTTGATCTCCTATTTATTTTAGTTATGCTTTACTAAGATTCAAAATAGCTCTGGCCTAATGGATCAACTGGGGTACGAATAATATTTTAGCAGAAAAGCATCAACTAAGATCATTGTCCTATTTATTTTAGTTATGCTTTACTAAGATTCAAAATAGCTCTGGCCTAATGGATCAACTGGGGTACGAATAATATTTTAGCACAAAAGCATCAACTAAGATCATCGTGTTCCCAATGATCGGGGCTGCCTACAAAACAGGCAGGAATATTCTTCAGCACATCAATAGTGAGACAACTGCTTCATGAAAAGTACTCACCTTAGCTCTATAATTGTCGTCTAAAAGAATGTTGGTGGACTTGATGTCTCGATGCAGAATCCTGGGAGCAGCTGCTTCATGAAGGTATTCTAGGCCCTTTGCAGCTCCCAATGCAATTCGTACACGTGTTTCCCAATCCATTGGTTCCTTTCCCCCTCTTGCATCCAAACAATCTCTCAAATTTCCATTAGGCATATATTCAAATACCAGGAGCCTTTCCAGTTGCCTTCCCTGGGTTTCAATGCAGTATCCAAGCAAAGGCACCACATGACAATGGTTAAGCCTTGATATCAGTTCAATCTGTCAAAGGAAGGTTTGAAAAGTTCAAATATAATTGCTTTTAGATACTCAGAACAACAGGAATATGGATAACAATGCAAATGAATCAACAATGTGCCACCTTCTGACTTTTGTTTAGTTCACTTATTTTATGTTAAATCAGCCATTGGCTAAAAAGAAAAAAATTCATCCAGAAGACATTACGGATGCCAAAGACAACATAACCAAGATCCAAAACAGAATAACCTACAATATAAAGCAACATTTTCACCCAAACAGAATAAACAGTAAAATCATAGGATATTGCTTGAACAGACCAACCAGATGTAAAATTCAGAATGACGCTTATAATAAAGAAAATCTTCTGTGTTAGAGTGTTAAGAACATGATTAGACCACTCACAAAGAATGAGCAAGAATTGGACACTTAAAGAGTGGCGTTTAGACAGTACCTCATATAGAAATTCAGAATCAGCTTCTGAACCTCCTAGCGGTCTTAATTTTTTTATAGCAACAATTCTTCCATCCTTAAGCTGACCACAGTAGACATTGCTGCTCCCTCCAACCCCTATTAGATTGTTATCTGAGAATCTATTGGTTGCTTGCTCCAGTTCAACATAGGAAAATTGGACAATTACACCAGGTAAAATTCCAGTTCCACTTCCAAATATGTAAGTCAATTTTTGTATGACTCCTGCAGCATAGAGAATTTCTTTTACCATTAGTGACAACCACTAGATGGATGCACAAGTTTCGCTTCAGAAAAGCACATACAACAAAATTGAATATTTGTTTTCCAACAATAAAGTTGATGTAGCAGCAAAAATTTGAAAAGCAAAAGTATCAGACAATTCCGAACCAACTAAATCAAATACATGAGGTTTCAAACAGTGCAGGAATATCATGCACTACGCAAACAAGAAGGCTTCTGATGTTTCTTCTGCTTATTAGAACTGTAATAGAATGGCAGCAGGCAATGAGTCATTCAACATTCCTGCGTCCAAATCATTTATTGCCAATCAAACAGGCAAATGAGTCAGCAAATCATATCAAGTGCAAAAAGTGCTAAACAGACAAAACGGAGGTATGCCGACTTTACAGATCTTACAATAGGTTGTTCACCCATGAGAAACAGAATTTCCCTTCTAACAATTTCTCTGATCTCAAAAGGGAAAATAAGAAAGAAACAAGAGCAACGAAACTGAAAAAAAAAAAAAACAATCTTCTGCAATCCTAATCAGAAACTTACCTGGATAATTATACTATACCTGAGATAGGCTTGAGAAAAAGACCGATCTTGTTTCGTTGCTGTGGAAACGAAGCAGATCGATGACTTATCAAGTTTATTGTACTGTTCCAACTCGAGTCTTTCTCAGATGAAATTTGCACTTGTCGCATGGAAAGTCTATCCTTGTAATAGAAACAATATGCAGCCACAGCTAACAATACTATGGTTGCAAGTACAACACAGAGAAGCAAGATGACTAAAACACCTCTGTTAGATAGGTGCTTCTTTGCTGCCACAGATGTTCCTGTGGGATCTGGAGAAGGCATAAAAGAGTTGATAAGTAACCCAAGCAAAACACAAAAGATAATGATTGTAACATGAATCAACAAATAATATGGAATTTACGAGCATTCAACAACAAAACGAATGTCCGCCAGATATGATCCCCAAAGTGAGCATCTGACTTGGCAGAATATTATGTTCAGCTACATAACATCAAGCAGACAAAAAGAACACAACTTTGTACAAGCATAGGAAGTTACCTGAGGTGCAGTTGCAGGTGGTAAAACAAGTAGTATCATGGATGTTTCCAGGGACCTGAGGACCTAGTATTGCACATGAGCAATTCCATGTACTTCTATCTGAACCTCCTGTTACTATCACAAGAGAAAAGTTAATTTTGTAATGCTCTTAATGCAGGAAAAACCATGTTGAATATGCAGAGAGCACCATATGAGATACAAAAGGAAAAGGAACGTGTATGGAGTCTAAGAATATCAAGGATTAGAAAAAAAATCTACTCTAGAAACTAACAAGGCTTTGGCCTAGTTGAATTCCTTCCTCATCTTGAAGAGGTTCTAGGTAGTAGGTAAGATAAAGAATACTCATAGTAGTGTTAAAGAAGTCAACCTAGCCCCCCTCGCACTCATTACTGGACTTCCTGCTGCAGATGCATAAGCTTTGAGAATTACAAATTGTTTCTAAGTCTTAACAATAGGTTGAACCCTTTCATTTCAGGTTTCATTAGTACTTAAACTATCTAAAATACTAACATGGACCAAATGATCTCAAACAACCTTCTCAGAACATGATATTTTCCGTGAAGCTGAGTTCACCAAAATGGTTTTGAAAATATAAAAGTCTTGAAGAGTATGCAAAATCAATACAAGGATGTCAAATATGATCCATGTATAAAATTGACTGTTAACTTGCTCCTATTGACTTTCACACTACAAGCCATAATGTTCCTAACTTGATCCTCTCCAGACCCTACATTGGATGAAGCCTTGTGCACTAGCCCCCCTTCCATTATATAAACAAACTGTACTTTAATTTACAGATGTCACCAATCAGAAGCATGTTGCATCAAAGAATGGACATACCAATCAATAATGTTTCTGTAAAAATAAAGGATTGAATGTATTCCATGCACGAGAGAGTCTGCTCGTCTTATTCTTTTTACACTAACGTAAAAACCATATTAATCTCCTTCAATATCCTTTCAAAAACCCATTCTTACATCCATTTTATGTTATTTTAGATCAAAATAAACCACTGCATGACAAACCAAAACAGTTTTTTCTGCTTATCATGATTAGTTAGACCATAAAATCCCATTATTGATGTGGTACAATGACACCTAAGCCTTCTTGAAAACAAAGAAGACATGAACAGTCTTAACATTTAATTGGGTAATCATAAATCCTAAAAGCTTCAATGGTTAGAAAAGGACTTAATATATGCGTTAACATCCCTTCTCATGAGCAAGCCATTACACCTGAGGTGTGAATGAAGCCTAAGCGTATGGCGTAAGCCCAAATGAAGACCGATTGTTGCATGAATATTTTTAATTAAGCACTGGGAAAGAGGGCCTGATACATGATTCGAACTCAATACTTGATTTATCACCATCATAAAAATTTAATTCAATGACCAGTAATCCCAAGAGCTTAAAGCTATTAGATCAACAATGCCAGGCTATGCTTTGACAAGCCATGCAAAATGGCATTTTTTTCTAATGTCATTTGTTATCCTCGCTATTCGTTGAGAAAAGCTATCTGATTGATCGAATAAACATTGGATCAACTCATGATCATGGGCTTGATAACCAATCCCTCATTATACTATGAATCAAGCATGCCTTTCTTGACATAAATATCGGTGAAATCAGCAAAAGCAATCAACGACAAAGGATAACCAATCAAAAAATTAATAAATCATAAGACTCATAAACACATTTATGTTTGATGTGGCTGTCATTCTATTATTTGGATATATCATGATAGTAACAATTCTGAGCTGACTTAAAATCCAGTCAAGGATGTCATAAAAGAAAACAGAGTTCCAGGTGAACTAAAAAGTCTAGGGTAGCTGATTAAAGTTATACCAGGAGTGCATCCACAGGATTCCGAACAATTAGATGCAGGAGTATAATTTGAAGCAGCTATAGGACCAGCAGCACATACACAAGTCCACTTTACTGTATCTGGCTGATCTCTGGTGTCCTCTGTAACGAGTAAAAGAGAACCAAATTTAGTGATGTATCCTGAGAATTGACGCTGCACAAAGATCATTAAGTTCTAAAATTTTGTATATGGAAGTTGAAAATGGAGAGACAACCACCTCAACTTATTTGCAATATAGAAGAAATTTGATACTGACCACAGGATGTAAATTGAATTAAGAGAAGCCAACTAATAGAAGCCAAGGCAACTCTTGATTGTAATTCCATCGACTTCATCCAGACCCTCTGTCAGAGAGGCATTAAAATCTACGCTTCCAACGAGTGCCTGTGGAAGTATAAATCAAAGTGAATATGGAATATCAGCATAACACAAAATGAATATCTACTAGCAAAATTAAGCATTGATCTATTGGAACTACTTTTACCTTTCATGTTCTAGCATGGTAACGGAAAACATGGTATAGACTAGAACAAAAACTACACCATAAAGACCTCTGAAACGAAGAAATCAGATCCTTCATGAAAAATTAGGAAGTAGGCCATTAGTCACTCACCCACCTATCTGTAGCAGAGTAACAACAGCTTATTAAGTTCCCTATTTAACATCCTAAGGTTGCTTAACCTACTAAAAAAACCACTACAAGAAAAGGTGAGTTCCTTGTGGCCTCGATTTTAGTTAAAAAAATCATCACTCTGATAGTTTTAGAAAACATGCAAAGCATTATGAAGAAGTATCAGTCAAACATTTAAAAGGCCTTACTTAATGATCTTTGACCAGATGGTTTGATCCCAGCTTGCCACAAAAATTATCCAAATGCTATTTAGCCACACAAATTGACATGCCGCCATATAGAAAAGCCACAAGGAGGAATAGAGTATGAATGAAGCATGAATCAGCGAACACATCATAAATTTATATGGTTATCCATAAAAAAATAATTAGCATACCAAACAAGAAATAAAACCCAAACCAATGATGGATTGAAACTAAAAAAAAAAAGGAAAGTCACCAACACGTAGGAGTCGTATTCGGCCGAACAGAAATCCGCCTCGTTCGCTAGAGTTGATCTCAAGCATCAATCATTTCTCTTTCCCCTTTTCCTTTTTGTTTATTGGGGCTCGAGCTCCAGCATTCGGCGACATCCCCTCACCATATGCCGATGCTTGCCGATGAGGACGGTAAGACAATTCAACAAGCACCTTCGAGGAGGAGGAGGAGGTTGGGTAAATATGGATGGGTTAGGTGGAGTGGCGCCCCAAATCCAAGAAAGAAGAAGAGAGGCAGGCAGGCGGACACAAATCAGCTGCTGGTGCTGCAGCTGAACTCGCCAAATTGGATTTTTGGATGGTTGGATGGCTGGATCGAAGCAAATAGGAGGCGATGGTGATGACGCAGATAGCAGGAGAACTCCTCTCGTCCAACCCAAATCGAAACAAAAGAAAGAAACGACCACCTCTCCCTCACTTCCTCCGAAAGAGATAAAAACGTAGGGAAGGAATCCCCTCACCAACCTGACAGCGGCCTCTCAACCGTCCCCCCCATTTACAATCAAGTATCTTTCATCTCATTATATGCGACTCTCGCTATCAACGAGAGGAGAAACTAAATCAAACCCCTTTTCTCTCTCTCTCCCTCTCTCTCTGGCTGGGTTGGCAGCGACAAAAGAAAACAAGAAACTCTCTCTCTCCTGCAGCAAATGTTCAAACTGATCAACGGTTACTTCCTCTTTCTACCGAGAAAGCGAAAAGAAGAGGGAAATAGGACAACTTCGCTTCCAAGGCACTTATGAATCCACGCCACCGACATAATTGTATTGCAAATAACAACAATAGCAATAATAATGTACGGGTAAAATGGCAAATCTTTGAGTGACGTCTGCAAGAAAACGATATGCTCATGGATTTCCTTCCTCGTGAACGAATTTATTGCCGAAGCAAAGCTAGCGAGCGAGTCAGCTGAATTAGATTAGATTCTCTTTGACTTCTTTCGAATTAACTGATACTATATTTCGTACAATTACGGGTCCACCGCAGCGCAGCTGTGTCCGCTACAGGTCACAGTGTCAGCGGGATCCGAGGGGGATCGACGCACGATCCGTGGATGGGGATCCGTGCCCGCACTACAACTTCCGACATCACCGTGACGCGGGGGGGCGCCTTCTCCAGGAGGTGGTTGTGTCGCCCGGACTTCGTTCCTTCCCCATGCGCGGAAACCGATCCTTGGAATGCAGCTTCCCTTTTACCGAACCTTGCAGTTTGCTTTCGTTGGATCTCGAGGGCCTTGCGGTAGATCTCGATGTACTACTCCATGGATTGTGATTGATGTGATCAATAAAAAGAAGAAAAAAAATAAAGAAACTTTTGTTCTTGAGCACGATTAAGCCAACCCAAATAGTATTGTCCATTGCAAAAGCAGCAGCTGATTCCAAACTTTCTACCAATGCCATAAAGGCTGATGAGAACAAGAGCAATTATTTACGGCGACAGAAGCGGGTCAGTCGTCGCAATCGTAGGCTCACTATGTGTCGGCCGGCGGGTATTTATTGCAGCTTATTTCTGCATCATTTTGTATTTTTGCCTTTTTATTTGATTAGCGTCGGCGAATGAGGAGAAAGAAAGAAACAACAGACCAAAAATGAGCTCATCCATTAACCAATTAAATAAATTCCTTAGAGAGAGAAGAAGCGATGGGTTATGTATGGAAAGATAATATAAAAAAAGAGAATAAGAAAAAAAAAGGGGGCCCGGGAAGGTGGAGGTGGAAGTGGGGGTTGATGCTGCTTCGATGCTACAGGCGACACAAAGGGTAGCATTTGGATGAGCAAAGAATGTCGATGATTATATATATTAATCCTCCTTACATTTTATATTCAGTAGAAGTATAATTTTATTAGATTATATGATTCTATTTAATTAGATAAAATATATTATAAATTTAATTAGATTTTAGTTATGATTATCAATCAATAAAAAAATTCATTTATGATATGATTCTTTAGAAAATAATCTTCATGGTAGGAACTCTGTAGATAGGTAGAATCTCTTAATCTTCCTTATAAAGAATAGAAAGAGAATATGAGAGCCTAGTTTATCCTATATATTTGTGTTATTGTTGCATGTTGATTGGATTACATAGCGTATTCTTGGACCTAATAAAATTTTTTAAATGACGTCGAAAGGTATGCAGATCTGATATTCGATTCATTGTTATTTAATTTTAGTTCTTAGCATTTAATTTTTTCGTATAGCAATAACATGATTATATTTTTTTATATTTACAATTGATATCGGAGCATATTTTGAAATCAAATATCTTATATCGTCAAAGCATTAGATTTGCTTTATATTAGATCTATTTTGTGTTATCATCGTTTGCCTGTGAAGGGTGTTCCAATCTATTTAGTTTATCTTGTCCATCTTAGTTTCTTGCTTATGAGCGGTGAAGGTTTCTTGTTCACACGGATGAAAGCGTGCTACTCGATTTTGATTAATGGGTTGTAGTTAGTAGCTTACTGTTAGCTACAACATTACGAAGGGTGATGGCCCGTTATGATCTACGGTAAAGACTAATGCTATTGATGATACTCACAAAGGTATCACCCAAAAAGGAAATTACTGTGGCCCATGTTTGAGGGTACACTCGGCACTTTGACAGTGATCATCACTATATTGAAGAGGTCGATGGACTATATCGCAACAACATTGAGGGCGGTGTAAGTGGTCGTAGTTTCATTAGTGGACAACGTGCAACACCTTTAGGCATTGTGATAGAAGTTTCGCACGATGATGCACACACCAATTGACCCTATAGGGTACTCGTAAAGTTGTCAACCAATATAAATATAGATGAGTCTTTTCTAAAATAGTTCATTCTTAATTTTCTTCTTTCTCGGTTAAAAAAGATAAATAAGACTTGAATGAGTTAGATAATATATATGTTTAGAAAAAATTAATGTTAATATATATGAGTCAAATTTTTTTTTACAACAGTTGCACGATGATAGATTTTTTATATGCTTACAAATCTAACGATCCTGGTCCAATTTTACGGTGTTTAGAGCAACCAATTTTGAGGACACGCTTCCATCGTGCATCAGCCTGATTCTGGCCCAATCAATTAACAGACCAACGAGAGAAGAAAAACCTGCCAAGATCATGAAACCAATTTGAAGGACGAACACAAAGGTGGTTCCATTTGGAATCATATTAAGATGGCGAAAGAGCAAGTAACAGTAGACAAACATCAATTGCAGGCTCCTCTGGAGAGCACTCGTAAGTTTTGCATCCCATTGAATCACAGCGGATTACGAAGAAGAGAAGCTCAGGACGTCAACTCTGCGGACAAAGCGAAACATTGTTCCAGATAATTATTAGTACAATCTTTTTCTTACATATACACACACACATATAGCCCAATTCCTGCTCTTGTTAACCATCCCAACTTATTCATTTGCAATAAAACAATAACTCCAGCACCAATTTAAAATCCTCCGGATCATCTCCCTCTCTCCTCTTTCTTCAATGTATCCCACCCAATCTTCCCTCGTCACTGAAGAACAGGAGAAAATAGGACACCGAGTACAAATAGCAGGACAGATCCATCTGTTTCCACAAGTAATTGGAAACCAACTATCTGGGTTTTGGCCCGGCTGGGAATGACCTTGTGTGTCGCATCTTCGGATTTGAACGCCGAGTGGCAGGACTAAATGTTTGGGACCTCTGCAGCATGTCAACCATGGAAGGCGTCTGATAGGATTGAACAAAGCTGCCACTTTCTGTCATGTCCCCACGTGTAGTTGCTCTCTGGCACAAGTGTGAGCTCAACCCTGACAGAACGTATGCCCGACCAGTTGCCTCATATCTTTGCTGGCTCACCATCCTCTCCTGCATCTCTTTCAGCTCTGCGTCCAGGCTTACGCACAACCGGTCACCTGATTTCCCAGCCTCGGACTCTACAATTCTTTTCCGGCAATCCTCCAGCACAGAAACAGCCTCCGATAGTTCACCACGTTCGGCAGCTGCCCTTGCTTCCACCATGGCCTCTGCAGCTTGGAGCCGGTTCCTTTGACGGTCCACCTCGAGCGACATCGTTTGTGACACCACCAACACTGGCCTAGGGATCTTTACCTGTACAGCTTCCGGACGCATTACCTCCTTCGTAACAGGGTCTCCGTAGGCACAGCTAACCTTGAGCAATGGAGTGTCGACGTCGGCGGCAGGAACATTGACTGAAACCAGATAGTCCCTCTCTTCATCTGCGTACATGTCCCCGGCGGCTACGGTCCCACTGCGTCCATCATCTGCAACCCTACTGGGATATCTGCCTGATTTTATACATCGAAGGTGCACATCAGGGTGCAAGCATTCCAGCCTCACCTGCATTTCTTGCACCACCACACTAAGAAGACCTCCGATACACTGTGCAAATGCATCTTGGATTGCACCCTCAGCCTCGATGAATGAGAATGTCCCGCCAGAGGTCTCGGAGATGGAATGCATCGATGCGGAGTCATGGTCGGAGCCAAAGCCAAATACATGAACGGGCACGTGATGCGCACTTCCGTCTCGAATGGAGGACGGCACAAGTGATCTGTAGTCTGGTTCCGTCGCTTGTCCGTTACGAATGGTGGGAGTAAAGATGTAGGTGTCCTGCCCATCGGAGAGGAGAATGATGCTGCAGACGGGATTCTTCTCCTTGCGATCTTCAATCACTTTGGCACCCTTCCTGAGTCCCTCTGCTATATTTGTTCCGCCACTTGTTGTCAGCAAATTGACCGCCTGCAAGGCCTCCTGGCGGCCAGACTCCGACATCCGGCGGAGAGGAAACAGCCTTCGTGCTGTAGAGGAGAAAGTGATCACTGAAAGACGGTCCGACGGACCGAGGTTTTGGATCACAAACCCCATAGCCTGCTTCAGAAGTGCAAGCTTCGTGCCCGACATGCTACCACTGACATCAAGCACCGTGACCAGGTCAACTGGAGCTCGATAGCTTCTGGGAACTTGGGCATCTCCATGGACATCTTTGCCGGGATTCTGTGTTCTGGGAACAAGAGGTGCCTTGAGATGAATCAGAACGGTAAAGTTCTCCGTAGAAGCTGACTGCGAAATGGCTGGATACTCCGGGTATGTGCTTATCTCCACCATCTTGGCACATCCATGCGGGGGAACTCCAGAAACCTTGGATGGGGAGCCCAGCGACTCATCATCATCGAAGACGCTACGCTCTGAGCTACGCAACGGGGGCACAGAGTTCTGGCGCCGAATGTTCATGTGACCCCCGTGATGGGGCCAAATCACTGGGTTAATTCTGGATCTTACATGAGAGGACTCAGCAAAGGAAGGACCTTGGAAGGGAACCTCCTTCCATTTAGCTCTACAAACTGGACAAACATGGTTGCCGAACTTCACATTTGAGGCAATGCAGCGGAAATGGAAGCTATGGGAGCATTCTGCAGTGAAGAGGGCATGACCTTGCCCTGGTTTCATGGTCGCCAGACAAATAGCACATGTCCTCTATGGATATACAAGTAAGGTTATTAGCTTTCATGAAGCATGTAAACATTATGTTGCTACAGAGGACAAAGGGAAGAAACTTATCTTTAGTGTAGAAATTGCATAAGAATAAGAACAAGAAAAAGGAAACAAATGGACAAATAGGGGAAACACAACACAAGCAATTTCATATAGAAGAAAACATCAAATTCAATATGTACCATTAAAGAAAGCATACTGGAATAACAAATGAGTTAGCAATTTCATATAGAAGAAAACATCAAATTGCTTTAGCCT